CTTATAAAGTAGGTGCTATAAAATCTGTTGTTCCAAATAAGGAGTGGCCCAGAGATGTTAGGCGTCTTGTCCATTTTCTCTTAACTGGTAAGTGATGGAGATGGAATTTGACCTATTCTTAATCCATTTTCTGTGTAATATAAGAGGAAGTAAAATTTCAAATTATCTGGTTAATTTCCATTTGAGCAATTAGAATGCATTATACTTTGTTGACCCATGTTGCTTGTCTTTTAGAGAGAGAGAACAACTTAAGTGTTTTTTAGAAGGCTTAAATGCATGCTTATATTCTTCTCCAGTTTCACAGATTCTGGGCTCTTCTTTTGATCTGTTCTCCTTACTTCCTCAGTTTCTATTCCCCGTCTTTTCCTCCTTCCTCTTTTCTTCTCTCAACCTATGACATAGAGCTAGTAAAAGGAGCGAAAATGCTTCCTAAGTACATTTGATCTCAGCGTATTTATTATCTCAGATTGTAGTGTGAAGTGACAGAGGCAAACTGGACCTATCTAAGCTTTAAGAGTGGAAACAAATATCAAAGCTATTCATTCAACTAATACTAGCTTTTAAGCAGAAAGCAGTATTTTGCCTGCTTTATCATTCCAAATCTCAATACAATAGCATAGCTGTCTCCATTGGAAAGCAGATACCATATATGACTACAATACAACTTGAAAAGTGCGGTATTTCAGGATTGAGAAAATGTCCCTACATGGGAAAGGAAACCTTTCTGATATGCTCATGCTATGGAGGATTTGCAGTGTGAAAGATGAGAAGGAATTTGCCACGTGAAGGAAGGAAATTAAGGTGAACAGATTCAATATGTATAGTGCATAATAAACACAAGAAAAAATGGTGTGTTGGGTAAAGAATTAGGGGTTTAGTGTGACTATCATATGATAAAAGAGGGAAGATTGTACAAGAACAGGTAAGAAGTGGAGGTGAAAAGGACAAATGGAAGCCAAATTTTGAAGTTCCTTTTATGATACTACAAAGGCATTTAGGCTTTATTCTGTAAGGCGCTTTTAAGCATGTTCAGAATATTAACAAGTTTCATAACACTCCTTTTTTAGAAAAAGTTTTTTGATTTGTGTCAGCAATGATGTCATGACCTCATTAGAATAAATCTGAACAGTAAATTTTAACGAAGTTTCAGTCTGTGTGTTTAGTTTAGTGGTTCATCTGGATTTATAACTTTTATTATTATTTTGATATTTTAACAAGTCCAAAACAGAGACTTGACTTTTCTTTTTTTCTAAAAGTGAACTTTAAAGTAAACTAGCAAGTTTCAAATTGTTGAATAAATACATAGCACATTTCTATAAAATGAGTCAAAAATTTTTAGCTATAGCATTATTAAAATGGGCAATATTTTTAAGCATTAATATTTGATTTTACATGAAAGAAGCTAAGCAGCATAATTAAGTAGTGTTATGTTCTTACAGATAATTTGATGTATATAAGAACCTTTTATCTTTGGTCTTAAGTTTTTTTCAATAACTATTTCTTGATATTTACATTTGGAAATCTTGATCAGAGAGTGTGCTATGATATTTTTTTTTAATTATAGCTTTTTAAATTCACATGCCATAAAATTCATTCATATAAATTGTACTATTTGGCATAAACACTACATTAATAAAGTTCTTCAACCATTACTATGTAATTTCAGAACGTACTGCAAAATAGAAATTCCATAACCTTTTGTTAACAGTCATTTACTGTTCACACACACACACACACACACACACACACACACACAACGCTCTAGGCAATAACTAATCTGTGTTTTATCTCTATGGATTTGTCTGTTTTGAACATTTCGCATAAATAGATCACATAAAGTGGGGTTTTTTGTGACTGGCTTTTTTTAGCCTGATGTTTTCAAGGTTCATCCTTACTGTAACATGTATCAGCACTTCATTCCTTTGTATTGCTGAGTAATACTCCATTGTGTGGATATATCACATTTTATCCATTCATAAGTTGATAGACATTGGAATTATTTCCACTATTTGGCTATTACGAATGATGGTAGTATGAAAATTCATGTATAGCTTTTTATGGGGGAAATGTTTTCATTCATCTTGAGTGGAATTGCTGGGTCATAGAGTAACTCTTATGTTTAACATTTTAAGAAACCATCATACTGTTTTCTGATGTGGCTGCACTATTTTAAAATATCAGGAAGAGTCCAATTTCTCCACATCCTTGTGAAAGCTTGCTGTTATCTGTCTTTTTGATTATAACCATCCTAGTGGATGTGAGGTGGTATCTAATTGTGGTTTTGATTTTCATTTCCATAATGGCTAGTGATGCTGGGCATCTTTTCCTGTGCTTATTGGACATTTGTTTATCTTCTTTGGAGAAATGTCTGTTTAAATCATTAGCCCATTTGGAATTTGGTTTTGTCTTTTTATTGTTGAGTAATAGTTCTTTATATATTTTGGGTACTATAGTACCCTAATTAGATATATGAATTACAATTACATTCTCCTTTTCTGTAGATTTGTCTCCACTTTCTTGCTAGGATCATTTAGAGCACAAAAATTTTTCATTTTGATGAAGTCCAGTTTACATATTTTTCTCTTTTATTGCTTATACCTTTGAAGTCATACTTAAGAATCCATTGCCTAATCAAAGGTCATAAAGATTTATTCCTATATTCTAGGAATTTTAATGCTTATATTTAGGTCTGTGATCTTTTTTGAGTTAATTTTAGTATAAAGTTTAAGGAAGGGGTCTAACTTCATTCTTCTGCAAATGGATATCTAGTTGTTCTAGCACTAATTGTTGAAAAGAATATTCTTTTCCCATTGAAATGTCTTCTTGTATTGTTTTGTTTTGAGGTAAAATTCACATAACATACAGTTAACCATTTTAAAGTATACAATTCAGTGGTGTTTAGTTGTGCAGCTACCACCTCTAATGCTATCATTTTGGTTGTGTCATCACCACTTCATCTAGTTCTAACTATGAGTGTCCTGAACTAGATAGAAGTGAATATTTTCATTGTCCCAGAAGAAAACCTTGTGCCCATTAAGCAGTAATTTCCCATTTCCTTTTGCAACCACCAGTCTACTTTCTGTCTTTATAGATTTACCTATTCTGGATATGTCATATAAATGGAATGATACAATGTGTGACCTTTTGTGTCTGGCTTTTTTCACTTAGCATGTTTTATTTTTTATTAAGGTATCATTGATACATAATCTTATGAAGGTTTCACCTGGGCAACATTGTGCTTACTACATTCACCCCTATTATCAGAGTCCCCCCACATACCCCATTGCAGTCACTGTCCATCAGCATAAGATGCTACAGAGTCACTACTTGTCTTCTCTGTGCTATACTGCCTTCCTCATGCTCCCACTACATTATATGTGCCAGTCATAATAGCCCTTCACCCCCTTCCACTTAGCATGTTTTTTCAAGGATCATTCACATTGTAGCATAAGTCAGTACTTCATTCCTTTTTGTATATTATCCCATTGTATTTGAATAATAACCCATTGTATAGTATTTGGGTTTGGTATATTGTTTTTAGTGCTATTCAAGACTTTGACTTTATGTTACAGTATTCTTTTCATAAATTCACAAATAGAAGAAACAAAAAAGGAAGAGCCATCACTTTCCCATTCTTAATTAAGAGTAATGACATAATATATACAAAATTTTCTATTTATTACAAAGAAAGCACTTAGCAAATTAATAGTGTCTTCCACCTGTTACTTATTTTATAGCCCTCATATTTTATAAGTTGCTTCATATCCACGGTCTCATCTAAGCCTCACAAGAACATTAAGATCTTAGCACACAGAGGGCATTTTAAAAATTGCTCTTATTTTGCAGAAGACAAGTTGGTAACTGTCACTTAAGAAGTTATATAACAAGTAAATAACAGAGTCTAATGTAACTGCAATCTTTTGCCTCCAAATCAAGTTCTTTGCTGATAGTAAAATGTTCCTATGCAAAAAGCTTTGGCTGTTACGGCCTTAGTCAATATACCCAATTCTCATGGTTACCCAAAAGTATTCAGTGAAAGATAATTATGCATACCTATCCCTTTGATATCAGAGTTGAAAATTAACCTAAAATGTAGTTCAAGCCCCAGTTATAATACTGGTGTTAAGAGCAAGGGATCAGTGACCTCTATACATAAAATGTTGTCTTACTGTGAAAAAGACCAAGATCTCTATGTAAGAGAGGACCCATGTGCATATTTATTTTTATTCATCGGTATGTACTCTAGCATATATACCTAGGGTGACTGTAGACTCTCAATAAAATATATGTTGAATAAATGAATTAAAGAAATACATTGTATGCTCCCCTATCCATGTGAACTTTCACTAAATTTTACCATAAATTGAAATTGAATATTACTATTAATCTTAACAGGTTTTGAATGAACACACATAATATGCCTATAGTCTTTATATTTATTAGTGTGCCTTCATTTATGTTACCCTATTAAATATGGCAGGTACTATTTAATCTCTGCTCTGCAAATGGATAAACTGAGGCATAGAAAAGCTTAGTAACATCCTAGGTAGCAATCCAAGCAGTAGACTCCTCTTTTAGGAAGGTATGTTACAAAAGTCGCTAAAATTTATCTTAAAAAATACTGATAAAATGTACTTAATAACTTGAGATTTGGTAGATGCAGTCTTTGAGGTGTGATTATATTAACATGTCTGTCAATCTAGAATTAATAGTTGTGTGTTTGACTACTTGTAGTACTTTGATATCTCTTGTTCTTTAAGACATGTAATATGAATATGTGTTTTATTAAATTTTATTCCACTCATCAGCTCCATATTTTCCCCACTCTTATCCTTATTCTTATTAACAAATTTATGTATGACTTTTAAAATGTCATTTTATATTTTTACTGAAGTAAGGCATTTTCTTAGCTCAGCAAAAGTCTTTTTCAGAATTGCCAAAGGCTGTTCTAAGATAAATTGTCATTTTAAACTCAGTGGATATTTTGGTTTTCCTTGTAGGTGTTGACAGCTCTTCTACCACAAGCAGTGCTTCTCCAGTGCCTAACAGTTACGAGGCCCTAGAAGGAGGCAGCTACCCAGGTAATTTGTTTTCTGCTTCTTCATATTTATTTGAAAAGTCACCATAATTGCTTTCAAATATAAAAATATATTATACATGATTGGCAGACTATTTTTTATTTGCAAGAAGGGACTTTTTTTTCTGGTATTTCCTGGTATTTCTCAGCCTTTATTTACGTAATGGAGTTAAGTGTCATGTAACAAATGTTGACCCAAAAATAAAACAGCCAGTTATTTTACTAGCAAAATGGTTTTATTCAGGAATAGCAGAGGAATTGCAACTCTGGATATGCAAACTATGGCAAACTATAAGCAAGTCCAGAGAACAAGAGAGGTAAACTTACTATAGAGGAAAGTGGGGAGTTTAGAGGGGCTGTTATAAACTACATGTCCATTGAATTAAAGTGGGAGCTTAAAAGTGCAGTGGCTTTTCCTTGGCTGAGTTGTGATAGTGTTGCCAGACAAGGAGAAAATCTTTCTTCCCTCTGTTGTGTTAGTAAAGTATAAGCTTCTTGTTGGGGCCTACATTTGACCAGGAGTGGTACGGTGTGAGAGCTTCCCTTTCTGGTCTCCCAACTCTGTTTAAATGAGGTTTCCTTTAGTCACACAACTGTGAACATTGTTTCTGGGAGGCCTAAGGAAATTTATTATTTTTATCACACTATACCTTTTTCCTCATTCTGAAAGACTTTCTAAGACTGAAACATTTTTTATTTCTTTTCCCTTTTTTATGCTAATAACTACGTAAGTAAATTTTATATTTCTGTTCTCATGCTTAGGTCCTTCAATTCCTTCTAGCTAGCCTCTGCATATGAATAGTATTTGACTATTTATTCCCCTCATGACTCCTGGCTGCTTCCACCAGTAGATAGATTAACCAGTTTGGTCATAGGTTCTGGAGGCATTACTTACAACCATATTGGAAAATAACTTTGGTTGTTACATAGGAGTAGGAGTAGTGGATAGTATTTTTAAAAAACACAAACTTAACTTTTATAATTAATAATAATTTCATTGTAATTGTACTGTGATCTTCCTTATTTGCCTATCTCTTATTACCAATAACCTGACAGCAACACCTGACTTCCCCCTTTCTCTCCCTTTTCCTGAAGATTCCAAATTTTAGAACTAGCAGAACAAGTAGTCTTGCCTTTCTCTTTATTTTTTATCATATTAGTAATAATCCAGGATGGAGCTTACTTAAAGTGTCAGTGTGCTAGCCTTAACATTAATCCACTCTCTTGCTATCATAGGCTATGAATTAGTAGAAAACTTTAATCTTCTCAGCTTAGTATAGAATTCCCATTTAATATTTCAAGAATACTTGAATAAGCTACTCAGTCTTTTGTTATATGGACTATTTTCCTAGGGACATGTATATGTGTGTGTGTGTGTGAGAGAAGTTGTGGACCATTCCAAAAGCAATCACTATTATGAAAATATTCTGGAATAGTGACTTAATTCACTTAAAGATAAATACATCAAAAAGAGCATCCATGATGATCAAATAGGATTTATTCCAGAGTGCAAGGATGGTACAATATTCAAAAATTCATTAACATCATACACTACATCAACAAAAAGAAGGACAAACATTACATGATCATCTCTATAGATGGTGAAAAAGCATTTGACAAAATTTAACATCCATTCATGATAAAAACTCTCAATAAAATGGTTATAGAGGGCAAGTACCTCAACATAATAAAGGCCATGTATGACAAACCCACAGCCAACATCATACTTAACAGCAAAAGGCTGAAATCTTTCCCTCCAAGATTGGGAACAAGACAAGGATGCCCACTCTCCCCACTTTTATTCAACATAGTACTGGGGGTCCTAGCTATGACAATCAGACAACACAAGGAAGTAAAGGCATCCAGATGAGTAAGGAAGAACATAAACTGTCACTATTTGCAGGTGACATGATATTGTATATAATAACCCTAAAGAATCCACCCCAAAACTACTAGAACTAATACCTGAATTCAGCAAAGTTTCAGATAAAAAATCAACACACAGAAATCTGTTATATTCCTATACACTAACAAACTAGAAGAAAGAGAAATCAGGAAAACAATTCCATTTACAATTGCATCAAAAAGAATAAAAATACGTAGGAATAAACCTAACCAAAGGGGTGAAAGACCTATACCTGAAAACTACAAGACACTCTTAAGAGAAATTAAAGAGGACACCAATAAATGGAAATACATTCCATGCTCTTGGGTAGGAAGAATTAATATTATGAAAATGGCCATCCTGCCTAAAGCAGTGTACAGATTCAATGCAATCCCTATCAAGATACCAATGGGATTCTTCAACAACTAGAACAAATAGTTCTAGAATTCATATGGAACCACAAAGACACTGAATAGCCAAAGCAATCCTGAGAAAGAAGAAAGAAGCTGCAGGGACTACATTTCCTGACTTCAAGCTCTACCACAAAGCCACAGTAATTAAGACAATTTGGTACTGGCACAAGAACAGACCTAGATATCAATGGAACAAATTGAGAGCCCAGATATAAACCCAAGCATATATGTCAATTAATATACAATAAAGAAGCCATGGACATACGATGGAGAAATGACAGCCTCTTCAATAGCTGGTGTTGGCAAAACTGGACAGCTACATGTAAGAGAATGAAACTGTATTACTGTCTAACTCCATACACAAAAGTAAACTCAAAATGGATCAAAGACCTGAATGTAAGTCATGAAACCATAAAACTCTTAGAAGAAAACAGGAAAAACCTCTTGAATATAAATGAGCAACTTTTTCATGAACACATCCTCTCAGGCAAGGGAAACAAAAGCAAAAATGAACAAATAGGACTACATCAAACTAAAAAGCTTCTGTACAGCAAAGGACACCATCACTAAACAAAAAGCCATCCTACAGTATGGGAGAATATATTTGAAAATAACAGATCTGACAAGGGGTTAACATCCAAAATATATAAAGAATTCACATGCCTTAACATCCAGAAAGCAAATAACCCTATTAAAAAATGGGCAGAGCATATGAACATACACTTCTCTAAAGAAGAAACTCAGATGACCAAAAGGCACATGCAAAGATGCTCCACATTGCTAATTATCAGGGAAATGCAAATTAAAACCACAATGAGATATCACCTCACACCAGTTAGCATGGCCAACATTGAAAAGACTAAGAACAATAAATGCTGGCAAGAATGCAGAGAAAGGGGAACCCTCCTACACTGCTCGTGGGAATGTAAATTAGTTCAACCATATGGAAAGCAATATGGAGGTTCCTCAGAAAACAAAAAGCAGAAATATAATTTGACTTGGGAATTCCACCCTAGGAATTTACCCAAAGAAAACAAGATCCCAGATTCAGAAAGACATATGCATTCCAGTGTTTATCGCAGCACTATTTACAATAGCCAAGTAATGGGAGCAACCTAAGTGTCCATCATTGGATGAATGGATAAAGAAGGTGTGGTCCATGTACACAATGGAATATTATTCAGCCATAAGAAGAAAACAAATCCTACCATTTGCAGCAACATGGATGGAGCTACAGGGTATTATGCTTAGTGAAATAAGCCAGGTGGAGAAAGACCAATCCCAAGTGATTTCCTTCATTTGTGAACTGTAAGAATGACGCAAAACTGAAGGAACAAAACAACAGACTCACAGACTCCAAGAAGGGACTAGCAGTTACCAAAGGGGAGGGGTGGAGGAGGGTGGGTGGGGAGGGAGGGAGAAGGGGATTGAGGGGTATTATGATTAGCACGCATGGTGTAGGGGGGATCATGGGGAAGACAGTGTAGCACAGAGAAGTCAAATTGTGACTCTGTTCATCTTACTATACTGATGGGCAGTGACTACAGTGGGTGGAGGGGGGTCTCGATAATGTGGTTGAATGTAGTAACCACAATCTTTTTCATGTGAAACCTTCATAAGAGTGTATATCAATGATACCTTAATAAAAATAAATAAATAAAAATTCACTAAAACATGAATAAAACAACTATACAGTACTTCAGAAGCTTCAAATTAACCTAAAGTGAAATGTCCTCTCTGTTATAGTTAAAATGGCCTTGGAGTTAGACCTGGCTTTCTCTGAATTCATTTAATCAACTAATCCTAATATTATTATCAACTGTGCTTTGACAGTAAGTGAGTGACCTTGGGCAAGTTTTTTAACTTTATATACTACACCAAAATCAAGGAAAGGTGTGAATATCCATAGCAGTAAAATTAAATGAATTGAAAGTCACTACATGGCAGGTAGTAGGATAAATCTTAGATTTATAGAAATGTAAATAATACCCCTTTCCTAAAGAAGGCAAGAAGATTTAGACCTCCATATTTATGACTCCAGTTTCTTCTTCCGTACGCTGATGACTGTTGTAAGGAGCGTGTAAGGAATGTAAGGAGACCTTTCCATTTACATTCCTGAGGAAGGACAAGCAGGAGATGTAAGGATATGACACTGCATTGAAGCCCTAGTCCTTTTAAGTAAGCCAGTCCTTGACTAATTAGCACAAGATGATAGCAGAATATCTAGGTACATATCTCCAAATGAGAAGCAATAGAGTCAGAAATACTCGATTCCTCCAGATACTTTTTAAAAATAAATTTTATTAAGTCACATGCTTTTAAGAACATTTTTTGCAGAGTCTGATTGCTGGTGAAGAATATAATATTTTATATGAAAAATATATTAATCGTATATAAAAATGTTAATCCTAGTTATGTGTACTGGACTAATTTTTGTTGTTAATCTTACGATTCAGTTTTCTTCAGTGTTTTTCACAGTTTCAATCAGTGTTTAGTTTTAAATTTAAATGAAAGCAGAACATTCATTCATTAAATTTTATTTGGCATCTGTTACATAGCAGACTTGCCTTAGGAGCTGGACAGTATTCTGGGCACTGTCTTTCATACGTTCATGGTTTTGCCTCTGCAAATAATGCAGACTTCCAAGGGATTGTGGCAATACCGTATTTTTCTGTGAGCTTTTTAAATAGATGACAGACAAAAGGCAAGTTAGAAAAGAGCAGTTGACTTCTTTTTATTGCTCTGCTTTGTTTTCTGCTTCTTAGCCTCATTCCTATTGAATGAATAAAAGGGAAAATTATTATATATATGTTTGTGAATATTTATATTATATCAAGACCTTGTCTGTTAGAAATACTGAGTATTTGTCAGTGAAATGATACAGAATGTGGGGTTTTCTTATTAGTACTTCTGTAAACAAAAGATAAGAAAGGGAACATGTGAAACAAGATTAACAAAATGTTGATGATTATTAAAGCTGAGTGATGGGTATAGGGGTTCATTATTCTGTCTACTTTTGTGTATATTCAAATTTTCTAGTGATAAAAAGGTAAAAAAAGAAAAAAAATGCCAAACGTTACAGCTCATCCAGGAGCCAAGTCTTTAGAAAGTCCTGATTTGCAGGTGTTAACACCGTGTTTTCCCTTTGTTAGATATGCTTTCTTCATCAGCAAGCAGTCCTGCTCCTGATCCCACTCCTGAACCTGACCCTGCCCCGGCTCCAGTTCCCACTGCTCCTCAGCCTTCAAAAATGGCTAAGCCATTTGGATATGGTTATCCAATTCTTCAGCCTGGTTATCAGAATGCTACAGCACCACTTAATTCTGGAGTACCATCCAGTAGCCCAGCGTATTCTGGATTCCAGCAGTATGCTCAAGTATGTATTTAGTCATATAAAGAAACTGCATTTCTAAAAATTATGAAAATCATTGTCAATTCGAACATATCCTGGTGATTCAGGAGGATCATTGGTACAAATACAGATAAGCCTAGATCAAACATACATGAATTTGTTCTAGTTTTTTTGTGTGTGCATAGAAAAAGGTAAAAGAAAATATAAGTATCATATATTTAAAGAGGTTAAACTTGAATCAAGATATTTGCTGTGTAGAGCTGAGTAGGTGAGACAGAGACCCATATGAGGCCCACAAAGCTCAAAGTATTTACTATCTAGGCCTTTACAGTAAAACCTTGCTGAAGGGTTGGGAGATATTAGCTGTGATTTTTCTTTTCCTCATTGTACTTCATTTTTCACAGTCTCTCCAATTGCAGGTATTTTATAGTTAGGAAAGTAAAATAAATGTTAAGTTACTTTAAAATTCTGTATTACTAAGCTGGCTTCACTTCAAAAAATATGGCATGATATAAATGTGGTTTGTGATTTTTGTTCTAACTCTTAACTTGAAGAAATCAGCATGACATGTGACTGAAATGGGTCATAGCCTTCACACACATAAATGCTCATCAGTACTTACGTTCATTCACTAAATCTATGACCTGTTCTGACATGACGTTTTTTGAAGTCATCTCTTAAATACCACATCAATTTAATAATACAGAATGGTAAGTATTTTACATTTATTGATAAGAAAATAAAATAGAAGCAAGTGATTAAAATGGCAAAACCATTCTACTTATAATAAAAGTGCTCTTATAGACTAAGCTTATAGACAACATCTGCTAAACTAAGAATGAAAATTAGAGGACAATAGGAAAATTGTTTGTTTCTGGAAGCTAGGAGAGGTACTGGAGAAATATGGTTGGTTAGTACAGATTTCCCTGCCTTCCATTTTATTAGATTTTCTTTATGGCTTTAAAGGTCCTCATGAAACTCGTATTTTAAGTCATTCTTGTCTGACTCTTGTGTTTAGGCAAATTGCTACTTGGGATCATAATATATAATTTATTTCTACATTTTAATGAGAAGAAAACCAAGTTCAAAGAAAGAATCTAGTTTTTGGATGAAGTGTTGGGCAAGGAAGGAATTTTTTGAAATAGTGTGTGGTCTATAAGGCAAAGGTTTTTTTGGCCTACTTGGTTTCCTTGACATGTTTAGGAATAAAGTCCTAGTGTGTCTGGACCTCAGCAATGGAAAATAGCAGAATGAGATTCGAGAGTTAAGTAAACACCATAGTCAGAAGCTTGGATTTTACCGCGAGTGCAAAGGGTAGGCTTTGGAGATTTTATGTAATGGGATGATATCTAATTTACATTTTTAGAGAATCATTTTGGCTGCTGTGTGAAGAATGGATAAGGGATGGAAGTATTTGGATAGACAAAAATGGAAACAGGGAGAGAGACAAAGAGCTTTGCCAGAAATAGGTAGTTATGCTTTGTTCTAAAGTGGTCCTACCAGTGGAGGTAGTGAAGAGTGGATGGATAAGGGCTATCTTTTGACTTGCTGATGGAATGGCTGTGGTAAGTAAGAGAAGGGAGGCATCCAGAATAGCTCTTAGGTTTTTGGCAGAACAACTGGGTAGAAGGTAGTATATTCACTTACTTGATGAAGACAAAGGAATAGCTGTGATAATGGAAATTGAGTTGGCCATGTTAAATTAAAATACCTAATAGACATCTAAGTGGAGATGTCAGACAGGTCAATATTTGCTGATCAGGTATGGAGAAATAATGCCATAATTTATATTCCCAGCAAAGTATATATGACTGTCATTTCTCTATATTATGAAGTATACCAAGAATTATTTTTTATAAGCAAAACTTTTTCATAATTTTTAGTCATTTGTGTTCCTTTACTGGAGTCCCTTTTCATACTGTTTCACCATTTTTCTGCTCAGATCCTTCTGTTTTGTAAAAGCTGTGTGTAATAAGTATATTAACCTTTTATCTATATATATTGCAGTTTTTTCCCAAATTGACATTCATTTTCAATTTTAATGGTGTTACTTTCATACTGGACAAATGTTTAAATTTTATATAGTCATATTATAATTTGTCTTTACCTTTTTTGGTAGTCTTTAAAAGGTTTTTTTCAGCCTTAAGTTTAGGAAAATATTTAGCTCTTGTTTTTTTAGTTCTTTGGTGATTTCAGTTTTGCATCCTTAAGCCACTTAAGATTTTATTTTGGTACATAGTGCAAATTAATAAATCTCATTTTCTTAATAATAATTAGCTACAAGTTCACTGTCATTTCTTAAATAATCTATCTTTGCTCATTAAATATCCCACCTTTATTAAATATCCTAAATTTTCATAAACTTGGGTCTGTGTTTAGTTTTCTGTTATATACTGTTAGTGATACATACAATCATTTTTCTCTTATCCTTTACAACTCTACTGAAAATCCAAAGACTCCTCTTTTTTTTTCTTTTTCTTGGCAAATATACATGTTTAATGTATACAACTTATATAGAGATATACATATGAATTATATATATACTTACACAAAGATTGTGAAATAATGACCACAGATAATTATTACATCCTTTAGCACAGCTGGTACAACTTTCCTTTATCATTATGATTTTTTTTTCCCTTTCTTTTCCCTGCCCTTATACCTCCCTTCCCACCCATCCTCCCCAGTCCCTTTCCCTTTGGTAACTATTAGTCCATTCCTGGGTTCTGTGCTTCTGCTGCTGTTCTCTCCCTTAAGTTTTCCTTTGTTCTTATACTCCACATATGAGTGAGATCATTTGGTACTTGTCTTTCTCCGCCTGGCTTATTTCACTGAGCATAATACCCTCTAGCTCTATCTATGTTGTTGCGAATGGTATGATTTGTTTTTTTCTTATGGCTGAGTAATATTCCATTGTGTATACGTACCACATCTTCTTTATCCATTCATCTACTGATGGACATTTAGGTTGCTTCCATATCTTGGCTATTGTAAATAGTGCAGCGATAAACATAGGGGTGCATCTGTCTTTTCCAAACTGGAGTGCTGCATTCTTAGGGTAAATTCCTAGAAGTGGAATTCCTGGGTCAAATGGTATTTCTATTTTGAGCATTTTGAGGAACCTCCATACTGCTTTCCACAATGGTTGAACTAATTTACATTCCCACCAGCAGTGTAGGAGGGTTCCCCTTTCTCCACAACCTCGCCAACATTTGTTGTTGTTTGTCTTTTGGATGGTGGCGATCCTTACTGGTGTGAGGTGATATCTCATTGTGGTTTTAATTTGCATTTCTCTGATGACAAGCGATGTGGAGCATCTTTTCATGTGTCTGTTGGCCATCTGAATTTCTTCTTTAGAGAACTGTTTTTTCAGCTCCTCTGCCCATTTCTTAATTGGATCATTTGCTTTTTGTTTGTTGAGGTGTGTGAGCTCTTTATATATTTTGGATGTCAACCCTTTATCGGATCTATCATTTATGAATATATTCTCCCATACTGTAGGGTACCTTTTTGTTCTATTGATGGTGTCCTTTGCTGTACAGAAGCTTTTTAGCTTGATATAGTCCCACTTCTTCATTTTCGCTTTTGTTTCCCTTGCCTGGGGAGATATGTTCATGAAGAAGTCACTCATGCTTATGTCCGTGATATTTTTGCCTATGTTTTTTTCTAAGAGTTTTATTGTTTCATGACTTACATTCAGGTCTTTGATCCATTTTGAATTTACTTTTGTGTATGGGGTTAGACAGTGATCCAGTATCATTCTCTTACATGTAGCTGCCCAGTTTTGCCAGCACCATCTGTTGAATACACTGTCATTTCCCCATTGTTATGTCCATGGCTCCTTTATCGTATATTAATTGACCTTATATGTTTGGGTTAATGTTTGGAGTCTCTATTCTGTTCCACTGGTCTGTGGCTCTGTTCCTGTGCCAATACCAAATTGTCTTGATTACTGTGACTTTGTAGTAGAGCTTGAAGTTGGGGAGCAAGATCCCCCCCACTTTATTCTTCCTTCTCAGGATTGCTTTGGCTATTCAGGGTCTTTGGTGGTTCCAAATGAATTGTTGAACTATTTGTTCCAGTCATTGAAGAATGCTGTTGGTAATTTGATAGGGATTGCATCGAATATGTATATTGCTTTGGGCAGGACGGCCATTTTGACGATATTAATTCTTCCTAGCCAGGAGCATGGGATGAGTTTTCATATGTTAGTGTCCTCTTTAATTTCTCTTAAGAGTGTCTTACAGTTTTCAGGGTATAGGTCTTTCACATCCTTGGTTAGGTTTATTCCTAGGTATTTTATTCTTTTTGATGCTATTGTGAATGGAATTGTTTTTTCCTGATTTCTCTTTCTATTAGTTCATTGTTGGTGTATAGGAAAGCCACAGATTTCTGTGTGTTAATTTTGTATCCTGCACCTTTGCTGAATTCAGATATTAGTTCTAGTAGTTTTGCAGTGGAGTCTTTAGGATTTTTTATGTACAATATCATGTCATCTGCAAATAGTGATAGCTTGACTTCTTCTTTACCAATCTGGATTTCTTCTATTTCTTTGTTTTGTCTAAATGTCGTGGCTAGTACCTGCAGTACTATCTTGAATAACAGTGGGGAGAGTGGGCATCCCTGTCTTGTTCCTGATCTCAGAGGAAAAGCTTTCAGCTTCTCGCAGTTCAGTATGATGTTAGCTGTGGGTTTATCATATATGGCCTTTATTATGTTGAGGCACTTGCCCTCTATGCCCATTTTGTTGAGAGTTTTTATCATGAATGGATGTTGAATTTTGTCAAATGCTTTTTCAGCATCTATGGAAATGATTATGTGGTTTTTGTCCTTCTTTTTGTTGATGTGGTGGATGATGTTGATGGATTTTCGAATGTTGTACCATCCTTGCATCCCCGAGATGAATCCCACATGGTGTATGATCCTCTTGATGTATTTTTGAATTCGGTTTCCTAATATTTTGTTGAGTATTTTTGCATCTACGTTCATCAGGGATATTGGTCTGTAGTTTTCTTTTTTGGTGA